CCAAGGTACATTTGTATGTAAAAATACAGAAAAATCAATGCAGTGGGGTCACTGCGTGGGTTAAAGGGTAATTTAACCATGGGATCATTTCCCATGGGAATTTGGGAAAATTGAATTACTCCCGCCAATCTGGCCCCCTCTACCCCCTTCCCTTGAAAATTTACCTCTCAATGTGTCTCAATTGTATAAAAGAAAAATGAAAAATCACAAATAAAATATTTATTTACATTTTTACAAGTATTTATTGCATAGCAACTTGTTGAAGAGTAGCCAATGCAGATAGCCAAATTTGTGTCTCTGTTGGGTTTCACTCTGTGACGCTTGTGCATAATTCTGCCTCAGTGTTTGAATCAAAGTATCTGCTTGTTTCTTTTTTCAGAAACTAGAGGCGAATACAGATGGGCAACTAAGAGTTTTCTACTCTGACCCCTTCAGACTAGATCCTTTCTTTGATACTGGTGTCCATCCTCCCCCTTTGTATTCCACTGCGTTGATGGAAGAGTTGGGCATCAGCGAGGTGCCCTGGGATGCAGGTTAGTTTTTGTTTTCTCTATAGCACATGGCATTTAATCAAAACAATGTTGCAATATCATTTTTGTGGTAGGCTAGGATGAGCTCAATGCTCTTGCTTTTCATTAAAATGATTGGGCAGTGCTCTTTTATTTTCAAAGTCGCTTAAAGTGGACCTAGCACTTATACCGCATGATCCACTTATTTAGTGTTCCCTCCCCACTCTGCAAAAAACGTTTTGTTAATTTACGCACGCTAAACGACACAATATTGGTCATGGTGTGTGTATATTTATGCATGTTTATTTATTATATTGTGATATTATTTTAAACGGTTGGCCCAGTGCTTTTACATGTAGCGAGTGAAATCTTCTTCCATACTTAGTAGTACCGGTACTTCCTTTGGCTCCCAACTGCCATATGGTATAGTATATGCTGGGGAGAGGGATTTTTTGAGAAGGATAGAGCTTTCTTTTGGTGGTATTTAATCACCGCAGTTTTTTACTATAAAAGGCACTCTAATGTTTGCGGTGAAAAGTAACATGTGAGACGCAATAGTTTTCGCATGTTTACACGTATTTGCGTGTGAACGAGTACATGGGGGTGGAGGAATAAAAAATATATTTTTTAAATTATAAGTGACAATTTTTTTTGCTGCTCTCACTTAGTGGGGCTAACAAGCCCCCTATGTGATAGCAAAGAGCAGGTCCTCCTATATGTAGACATCAGTGGCCTAATAGACCATTAATATCACCTATGGATACAAAGAAGCCGATGAATTATAGATAAATGCTTCACCAGCTTCTTCCTTAGCCACAGCAGTCAGAAAACTGACTGGCTGAAACCGGAAGTGATGTAATACACATCACTTCCTCTTTCAGTGATCGGAGGGGAGATCAGCTAATGGAAGTATGCTGATCTCTCTCCAATCTCAGTGCAGATACCCGCCATGGGATAGCGCCTACTTAATATTTGTTACATGTATCTTATTCACATATTGCTGCTGTCACAATACATGCTCTATTATGAAAGAAAAGTTCTTCACCGTACTGATTTTTGCTCTGGAATTCAATCCCCTTGAGCAGGTTAACATTAACATAATTCTGTCTGTACCGCGCTGGCGGATCTCATAATCACTTGTGAACAAGATTTGAACATGACAATAAAGCCAGTGGTATTTATAGTGAAAGATGAAAACGGAGCCTTGCTGCGAGTGGGCTAGTTGGAGCTCAACTAGTCAACTCTAGTGCAGTTTCCGGCCTCCTGGCTATTTTGTAGCAAGGCTCTGTCTATTCCAGTTATCCCAGTCTCCGCTCCCTGACCTCAGTCTGGCTCTGCGACCAGTCTATGTAGGCCAGAGAGATCTGCACATGCCTCCCAATGTGTCCAGCTTCAAGCTGCTCTTGCCGTATTGGAGCAGGAGTGGGCAAACCCTGGCCCTACAAATGCCATCAGCATCGGTATCGGGACATCCCTAATTACTAAATGAGACATCTTATTTATTTAAATTACATTAAGGGAGTGTGAATATCATTTGTTGGGTGGAATTAGAAATTACAGAAGGGCTATTTTGCCACAAGTCCCCAGAAGATACCACAAGCCGGTATGTGATGCAGTTTACCAAAAATTCATATTTGGGTGCAGGTTGGCTCAACTCCAGGTGAGAGTTAAAATACATACATGTGCTGCCTTGCCTGCAAATCAAGTTATATGTGATCAAGGCATCAGACAACATAACACTGTCCTCCCTTTAGACTATACACTGCAGCTTTTCAGCAATCCGCCAAACCCTGTAACTGTACATTAAACGAGCAGCAGACTTGTTAGGTTATCCCGCATCTCTCCCTTCCGGTATGTATGTTTCCTGTGATAGGCTGTCAGCAATGTAAAAAGCAGCATAGCCCTGTTTGGCTCAGCGTGCCCCCCAGGCCAGTCACTGCTATGCAGAAGATGCAGTTGATAGCAACCTAGATTTAGGTACTTTTGCTAAATAAAAAAAAAATAGATATATGGATTTATGGTTTATATATTTGCATCGCATACAAATGAAATATGTTGTGAAAATGCAAAATTGAAAATATTTGTTTTTCATTGTGCAGAAAGTCCTTTAAAAGTTTTTGGGATTCTTCACCATAAAAATGAGAAGAATATCGTTTGGCGATATATGTATGCGGTATATGAGAGGATCTCAATCTTCAGATACGGAAGGACTGAATTAAATTTGCTTATGAGTGAAAAAATGTACAAGGTATGCTTTTTTCAAAACATATGCTTAACGTGCATTATAACTTTTGGCTTTATGGATAATCCTATATTATTATTAAGGATTTATGCAGCACTTTACAAAACTTAGGAGACAGTACAGTTAAAATACAATTTACAATACAATTTCAGTACATTAGGGTTAGGAGGGTCCTGTTCATGAGAGCTTACAATCTAGTAGGAGGGGGAAGTGATACAAAATGTAATAATTGTTTAGATTGAGTTATTGGAAGAAGTAAAAGGGCAGTTATGTTTAGATTAGATGAGATGGGCTTCCATGAAGAGATGGGTTTTTAAGGATTGCCTGAAGGTGGGCAGCATAGGAGGTCGGTGGACAGATTGGGGTAAGGAGTTCCAGAGGATGGGGGAGACTCTGGAGAAGTCCCGGAGAATAGCATGGGAGGAGGTAATTAGAGAGCTAGAGAACATCCTAACCATGGTACATATGGTTGGCAAGACATGCAGTTGCTTTCTGGGAACTCCTAGGGCAGGGGTAGCCTAACGTCAGCCCTCCAGCTGTGGTGAAATTACAAATGCCATCAGTCTTGCAGTGCCTCATGGGACTGTGGTTTTACTACAGCTGGAGGGCTGAAGTTTGCCTACCTGTGCAATAACACATAGCCATATATAAATGCGTTCTCCATTATCCTGAGCACGTATGTGGCACATTTGCTGTGGAGGGGGGTTTTAGGAACAAGAGGTAATGGGCTGGGTATGTTAGCTGCAGGGAAGCTTCTGAGGGATTTTTAGCTTGAAAGATTCTTTTTGTACAGCAGTAAAGCTCAGTGACCCTGGCCTATACCCCATATCCGGGATTAAAAATTCCCTGTATAAAGTTTGTATAATGTTTGCTTTTAGTTACCCGGTGCCTTTTGATGACCACTTTTGAGGTAACCCTTTTATGTATATTTTGGCCAGAATATTTGGCAAATATTCTTTTGTGTCTGTGTGTGTCACTGACAGGAAACAATAATAAGGGGTGACTGCTTTATAGTTCATTGCCTTAAAACTGCAGCAGACATTTTGGTTTCTCTAGTTTCCATTTAGAGTTGTAAAGAGTAAATTGCGTCATAATGAAAAAAAAAATATGTGAAAATAAGCATACTGTTTCCATTTTAGTGCCTCCTTTCTAAACCTGGAGACTATCAACATTATCTAGCGCTTCAAGTGCTGTTCAACATAGCCTTTGATATCCAACTGCTACACAAGGTATGTCTTTTTTACAGCTAGCAATGCTTACAAAATTAGGCAGATCTGGTGTGAAACAATCTGATATACAGCAGACTCCCTATTATCCGGCATTCAAACAAACCTGCACTCTCAAGCAACCGGCAAAAAAAAATGTGTTATGTCCTCTATATATTTGTTTATTTTGTGGTTGCTTGATAGACATACTGTATGCACACTAAAGAAATATTACCAACTACATTTAGTTGCTAATGAAATTCTGTTTACATCTTGCTGCTGGCCGGTGGATAGATTCTGCAGTCGGCAGCTAAATGTAAACAATGTGAAGCAATAGCCAGCCTACTATTGGCTATTTCACATTGTAATGGCCAATAGCAGGCTGGCTATTGTACCCGCCCACTAAGAAGAGGAGGAGAGCTGCAGGAAAGTACTATTAACTCTCAAGCAACCAGTTATCTGGCATCTACCAATCCCCATGGGTGCCGGATAACTGGGTGTTTACTGTATAAGAAATCCATTTATGACTCAATCCTTTGATATTGGGACATCTGTCCTAACTATGAATTCTCTACTTCTCCACTCTGGGTAGACATGATATTGGGTCAGTGTAATGCTTAGATCATGCTCCATATTGGATGTTACGCCCAAGTAGGGAGCCCGGCTAGAGATTCAGCTTCCCAATATTCACTCTGCCTTTAAAGGAAATCCTGGCATATTCTCCATTGGCTCTACTGGATCTTCAGGATCTTCTGTCCCAAGTACTGATTTGCCATCCTTCTTCACTGTCTCTGGCTTTATAGGCATGGCTATTGAAGCCCAGGTTCTGAGAGATACGGGCATTTCTGAGTCTGTAATTCCTATGTTGTAAAAAGCTAGAAAAGTCTACCTGTTGCAAGGTCTGGCGCCATGCATGAAAGGTGAGGCCTAAGGCTTTCACCCAAGAAAATTCTCCTTGGGACAAATCCTTCTTACAGATGGGTCTGGGCCAGCATTTGGCTCTCATCACCATCAAAGGCCAGGTCATTACACTTTGTTCCAGAGACTGCTGGTTTCCCATTCTTTGATTAAGACCTTTGTGCAGGATGTCTCCATTGTGGCTCCCCTTCTTGGCCTCCCTGTGACTCTGTGGGAGCTGAGTTTGGTTCTCCTGGCACTTCAATAACTGCCTTGTGATTCTATCAGGAATATTCACCTTTCTACTCTTGCGTACAAGGTTTAATTTCTTGTTGCCATCACCTCTGCAACGAGCAGGTTTATCCAGTAAAGAAACCTTTTGGTTTTGCACAAAAATAATGGTGTGTTTGAGGCCCAGAGCTACTTCCTACCTGCAGTAGTTTCAACTTTGCATCATTCTTTCAACTGACATCATTCTTCCATCCTTCTGTCTTGCTCCAGTTGATCAGAAGAAGATCTATCTTTATTGCCTGGATTTAGTTTGGGCTGTGAGTTTTTCACCGCTGCTACTTCCTTCAAAAGGACCCACTCTTTCTTTGTCATTCCTGATTGTCCCTGTAAGGGTAAATCGGTGTTCCACCATTCTGGTCTCAAGAATTGGGTGCCACACTTTCCCGTTAAGGCACACTCCACTAGATCTGGAAGCGTCTTATGGGCCCTTCGGCATCAAGCTGCTGTTTCTCAGATTTGCAAGACAGTCTCCTGATCCTGTGTTCACATGTTTTACCAGGTAGATGTTCTGGCCTGAGACCGGCTTTAGACATAAAGTCTTTCAGGCAGCTTCTTAAATTGCAGGCAGTCATTTTTTTTCAGGACTATTAGTGCTTGTTTGCTTTTGACTACCCATTAAATGCTTCTGGATGTCAAGACTGTGCAAGAAAATGAAAACAGAATTTTTGTATTCACTGTAAAATCCTTTCTTAGAGTCCTTGGAGGGACACATGATCATGCTCTTGGCACTGCTTTGCTGCAAGACTGAAGCATGCTGGGCATAGGAAGAGCTATCCTGGGAAGCCTACAATTAATTTTTTGTTTGCGAGTGTCTAGTCCACTGGTTGGCGGAAAAATAACATGATTGTGCAAGATTTTCTATGTCGCTCAATGGACTCCCAAGAAAAAGATTTTACAGTGAATGCAAAAATCTTATTATAAACCAATAATGCAGAAATCCTGATGTTTGCAAACTTTCTCGCAGCTGTGTTGGCTATAATGTGGGGAGAGAACAGTGTGAGAACTTGTAAGAGAGGAGCTAGCAGACAAATTGTACAATTTTCTTGACATTGGTAAATCATGCATTTTGCTGAATTATTTATTTATTTTTCTTCCTTCCTTAGGAGCGTGTTTCCACATTTGCTATGCCCCAAAAGTGTAAAGGTCCTTCGGCAGCCAAATCTGAGGTAAGTACTAGGAAGCCCTTCCAAACTCAATACAAACATGTTGATTTTAGTTTAGCAGCTGGACCATTCAGTTTCAAATACCAGTAGGAAAATTCTGATAAAATAAATAATTAGAAGCTTGACCTGAATAGTATGCTGACATGTACATACAATATATGTTATGCCTATCTTCATACAAATGGAACAAAGAAGTAACTTTGGTGCATTATCAAAGTGTGTTAATACACTCTGTGCAGTAAGACGTGGTGGTTTTAGAACTGTTGATGTCATCTCAACTTGCAATAGACGTGAGGACACCGAGGGACATTTCATAGCCTGAGTGTCAGGGGAGTAAAACTGCTTTTTTTTTTTTTTTTAGCCCCCTATTGGACCGCTAATGTCACCTAGTGACCCCAAAGAAGCTGATAAGGCAAGGATCTGTTTCTTCAGCTTCTTTTCTGGGTACGGCAGCCGGAGAAATGATGAGATAAAAGCGAAAGTAATGTAATACATATCTCTTCCACATTCAGTGTTCAGAAGGGAGTTTGGCAGGCGCAAGTGTGCTGATCTCCCTCTGATCCAGTTGCAGAGACTTGCCATGCCGGCAACCCGGGCTCCGCTGTCCCCTGTCTGGGCCCGTTATAGCTGTCAGTGACGGTGTAGTGGGGATCTCCACACTCCCACACACCATACAAGTGATCGGGTGACCCTATAGTATCCCAAACGCTTGTATGTAACAGCAGACGATGGCTGTTATGTGTTCATATTTCCCGATCACATAGGAGTTGGAAACGACTCTCAAAAACAGCCACTAGCTATTAAGGGTCTGCCGTCCAGCTGTTTAAGTACAACGGCCAGATGACAAGCACTTATGTCTCCTTTCTTCATCTTAATTACACGAGCTGGGGGGATTAGACTCGAAAAAAAGCTAACGTTGTTTGTACTTTCTGTTCAGCTCACAGGAAGTGACAAGGACATGACATTTCTGGCAAGGTCATCAGATATTTTCTGTACTTGCTGAAAGTGTTCTTAGCCTGTAAAACAATTGCAACCACCATACCTAAGGAACGGTAAGCAACAATATATTATATTTTTGTTCTTGGGTTTACTGATCTTTTGAACACACTTATATCTATACCGTACATAACATAGAAGTTTATTTAACAAGGCAAAGAACAGTAATACTTGGCAAACAGAATTCATGTTTAAACTGACAAAGACATAGCCAGTTAAATGGGCTTACTGGACAAGCGTCAACAATTTCTAAAATTCTATATCTCTTGACTTCTAAGACAGGAAAAGTTTATGAAGCAAAGCTGTCAAACTGATGGCTACCTGCCACCAAGCTGTAACAAAGACATGTGCTCTAATGTGACTTTATATGCAGCTCGGTGACCAAGTAACCTTGGCTGTACTGTGAAGCACATTTCAGAGTGCCTTGATTCAGTGGCAGCATTGTCTCCTCTCTCTTTCTGTTTCAAATAGTGTCCACTCAATCATTACCATTTACCAACAGGGAGAAATTCAACAGTGCCAGGGTGTGTACTTTTACTTTTTAGGGGAAACCCAGAGTTGTGGACATTTAAAAAAAAAAAACTACTTGTCCAAGTACTAAAACAAGGGCTCAATCTACTTGTCCTGATACAAAAAAATTATTTTAACCAAAACTGAGAGGTGGCCAGATTTGAGCCGGTAATTCCATTTTCCCAAATTACTTTATATTTTACGGACCTTAAAGTGATATGGACTTTCAAAGAACTTAATGGGGAATTGTTATTGTAATATATATTGAGGTACTGTTGTACGGTCTGTAATTCCAGCTGTCTGGGGACAGGTAGGAGTGTAGAACATAGTAACATAGCATTTGAGGTTGAATAAAGACACAGGTCCATCAAGTCCAACCTATTGCGTGTATGCATGTGCTTTTACATTTGTATGAGTCCATGTGTGATCATGTGTTCCTGTACCCCTGTATGTTACGGTCCCTGAGGAAATCGTCCAAACGTTTTTTGAATGATTCCACACTGGCAGCTGAAATCACTGCTTGCGGCAGCGAGTTCCAGGCCCTAACCGCTCTGAGAAGAACCCACTTCGCCCCTTGTGCTGAAATCTGTTCTCCACCAATTTTAGGTGGTGGCCTCTGGTCTTTGTTTTTTGGAGTTTAGAGTAAAAAGTTTATTGCTGATGTTGCTATCCCCGTTGAACATCTTGTACATCAGAATAATATCCCCCCTTAAAAAGAACATTGGAATGAATTGTGAGCTCTCCACTCACTGATTTAAGGGATTTTAATCTTAATTGTCTTTTTAGACATGCCTCCTGAGATCAGGAAGGATTGTGCACACCCAGGGAATTATTTATTCCTCTTCCTCCTGGTAGATTACATAAAATACAGGCATGCACAAATAGGCCAGGGACTAGTTTTTTAGGCTAAGGAATTATGAGGGGCCCATTTAAATGTTTATTGATGGTTGTATATAAAGTGGATTTATTATGAATATTTCGTTAATTGCAGGGGTTTAAGGGTGGCGTGGATTTTTAAATACTGTTATATGAATTTGAATGCTGCCTTAGAGTGGGTTGATGCTAAACTGAGTTTTGCTGTGTCTTGTATGCAACGATAAAGTATATTATCTTATAAAGGGAAACCTTTGTATTTAACATTGCAGCTCACTTCCGAAATGTTCTGTTTGCAGGGGTCTTCAGGTGACCATCTGTGTTTAGTACGCTTAACTCCACGAAGAAACCTGTTTAACGAGTCTCTTTCACCTGAAAATGCTAAGGTGTTTATTGGCTTCATAAGGCAGTGCCTTGGAAAGCGAAAGTCAACACTCCTAGAAAAACTGAAGTAAGTGCCCCCAACAAAAAAGCTTTTTTTAATATTTTTATACTAGAGTTCCTTTTTTGTGCCCTCCTTTCCTGTTTCATCTCTAAGATTTTCTTTAAAATATCTGAGTGAAATTAGTACATCCCTAATAACTTTTCTTCTGTACAAAAGTACTTTGGCTGTGAGCTGTGTTCACCGTTTGCAGAATGTATGATAGGAAATTGTAGATAGCATTCTTTTAAAGCCTGTAAGGCCTTTTTTAGCCTGTACATAAAAGGTTGAACACAAGGTTAAAGTAACCAAGCTCGCTCCCGTGATAGATTATAATCTCAATACCAATTAGTAAACTAAACGTGAGATTGTAGTCCATCAGCGAGCTTGGAACAGATGGGGAACGAAAGTAGTCACCCTTCAGAAGGAAGGACAGTGTCAGCACAAATTGAGAGATGGTTTGAGGATCTACAGCCGAGTGATGCACAAATGAGCTACGTTTTTAATAATAGAGTGCTTGAATGCATTTCTATGATTTTACTTCTGAGTTTAATGTCACTTTATCTGCAGATTTTCTTTGGTCAGATGGAAAAAGTGCAAAAGATTCCTCAATTTACACTGAACTGTGTGGATGGAGGAATCTCCCAAGCTTAAAGTGACATTAAACCCTCAGATTTTTTAACATAAACCAATACTGTAATGTGTGCCTTACTGTAATCCATGGTTGTTACCCTTCTCTTTGCTGCTCTTCCTTTTTAATCTGTATCTATTCTCATGCTGGGGGAGAACTTCCCTTTGCAGCTCAGTGCCTCTTCCTGTTGTGCTGGCTCAGGTTGTGAACCTGCACACAGACACCATGTATCCATTTCAGAGACAAGGCAGTCTGCTGCAAAACAGAAGTTCTGCCCAGCATGAGAACAGATACAGATTTAAAAGGAAGAGCAGCAAAGAGAAGGGAAACTACCATGGATTACGGTAAGGCACACATTACAGTATTGTTTTATGTTAAAAAAACTAGGGTTTAATGTCACTTTAAGTATCTTTCTAGTCGGCCCCACTGGCTCTCAAAATACCTGAACAATACCTGCATCCAATCAGATTGTTCAGGGCAGGAAGAGTGCATCCATGCCAGGGACGTTGTCTTGTGTAGAGTGTGGATGTGACCCACACTCGTGGACAGCAAGGTGGGGGAGCGAGAGGGATATACCGTTTATGCGAATGCAAAAATGGAGAGTGACTTTACTGTCCATGCTCAATGCATTGCTACTATTGCTTTTAACCGGACCTGCAACATTGACACTCCAGTCTGTGACAGAACTTAGTGTGGAAAATAATTATTTGCTTACAAAATCTGCATGCATCCAATCATTATTTTCCTCACTGTATACAGCACGTATCATCTAAACCGAGCATTCACAGAATCATAAACAGGTATTTTATGCCATACGTTCATTCTAAACCCTAGAATGTTTACCAATTGTGGCTGTAACACTATCAAATGTTATAATGTTATATTCTGTATCTCATCCATCTGCTTATACACTTTTTTCAGTTGAACCATTGATGTTTTTCCTCTTCTTTTTTTTTTTTTTCTTGTTTGACAAGTGCAGTAGTGACACTGTTGTACTGATCTGACATATACCCTGAAATGCATAAAGTGTCGTAGACAGTTTGTATGACAGACTCATGTACCTGTTGGAAGCAGGTATATGAATCCGTCACTATGGATGCATGATGGAGGCAAGCTCAGAGGCTGCAGTGTTCGTACTGGGCACTATGTCCTCAATGCAGCTTAGTAATGCTGAGCCTGATAAAATCACAGCCTCCTTCTGCTGTCAATCACAAGGCAGGTGGGCCCGATGGCCTTATTTGAGTACTGATGTCAGCCAGCATCCCAACCCCTTAGTTTACATTCTGTTGTCAGCCAGGCAATCTCCCGGCTGGCAATTAAATGGGACCATGCCTGCGTCACTGTTTGCTAGGACACCGGAGGGCACCGACTTCATAGCATAGTGAGTCCTCAATGAGAAATTGTCACCGAAACTGTCACAAGGCTTTCATGAAGTCAGTGCATATTTTAAAGGGACCCTTTAAGCAGAATTGTTGAAATGCTTTATGGAATCCCCCCCCATAATGTCTAAGCAAAATCTGCATGTGTCTGACCATGTGATGTCAATTTAACCAGATGGATGTTAATGATTTTTTTCTTTTGTTCTCAGCAGCATCTGGCAACCAGGTCATGGAGAACAGACATTACAACGCTTAGATCTGCCCAAAGATACAACCACCGGAAATATGAACCCAGAAGAATACAAACACTTGTATGAGATCCTGATGCAATCAGAAGATTTCAACCAGAGTTTTCTGTTTGATGATCTCTGTAGAGTTCCCTCCCATAAACAATACTAGGACATATAAGAAAGCAAAAACATTCTGTATTGTAATCTGAGTGTTTGCTGCAGGGATGAAAATGACCACTCATACCTGCATTGTTGTCATCTGCTTATTATTCACATCGTTACTTAAATTAGCAAAGAAAGGGGAAAAAAACCTTTCACAATTAAAGGAGAACTATGAGGTGAGTCAAAATCACTCATCCTCATAGTTCGAGCCGACGTGTGACAATGAAACTGTCGCACGTCGGCTCAATAGATCGGGAAGTGAGCGAACACATACCGCCGCTCGCTCACTTCTCGATCGTGTCCCTGCAGAGAGCCGTGACTGTCAGTCACGGTTCGCTGAAGGGATTCCCCCCCTCCGATCCTCCAGCGCTGACTGGAGGAACAGACGGGGAGTGGGCGGATACAGCTGGCTCTGCCTCTAGATAGGCAGAGCCCGCTGTCACTCGCGCAGCTGGGTGGATTTCGACTGTAATGTCGGGATCTGTCCCGTCTGCGGCGGTCTCAGTATACCACGAGCTGTAGCTCGCGATATACTGGGCTTTGGCTACAATCCATATACCCATTGCACTCCTGATCGCTTATCCATAATGAGAATGGTTGGGTGCATCGGCAGTCGACGGATGGCGACCGTCCAGTAATACAAAAAAGTATGGACACCGCCACTCCAAAGGTAGAAGTACTATTTATTGACGCATGTACAAAACATGCTCATTGCGACGTTTCGGGGTCACGCAGGATCCCCTTCATCAGGCAGAACAAGTGAGCTTTGGGTCACGGGAGGATGCTAGTATATGTCCTCCCGTGACCCTTAAGAGAACTATGGGGAAAAACACCCATAGTTTCTCTTTTAAGGCCCCGTTCACACCAAGGCATCATCGTTTTGTGTGTTTGTACATGCGGTATCAGCTAACCTTTTCTTGCACGTTTATGTGCATTTTGCAAATTTTTGTGTGCGTGAAAACGCGCTGACACGAAGATGTGCAATTGCCAGCTTAAGAAACCTTACGGTCCATGGACGAAAATGGGCAACATGCTTCACTTTTACCCTTTTTTTCATATTTTGCAAAGATGTTAGCTGAACATGTTAGGCCTGAAGATTGTTTAACCCCCCCCCCCCAAAAAAAAGATTATGGGGGAAATGTATTAATTGTGTTGCATAAAAATATAACAGTAAAGGGAAGCAGTGAGACAGATTGTGTGAAAGATTCTGGCCAAATAAAACCTGGCCCCAATCAGTTCCTAATTGTGTGCCTGTTTAAAGTGGAAATCTGTCTCCGAACTTGCTGCTCAGGAATACTGATGCACAGGACTGTAAACCTGACGTAGAGAATTTGCTGAAGGAGAGACAGCCTGAGGAAAATAAAATGGTAGCAGTTGTACTTTTTTATGTCACACAGTATTAGCGCAACTGCCTCTTAAACACATTTTTTTTTTTCAGTACAAAACGCACTTAAATAATTTTAGTGCACGCAAGCACACTATAATACCCAAGATGAAGTTGCGTCGCGTAATCAGATACCAAACATGTTATACTTCACATTTATATGCAGCTGTGAAACAACGAAAAACCACAGTGTATAAGCAATGCTTTAAAAGCCTTTACAGGTCATCAGACGGGGCAGAGGCATGTTGCAATCACTGGTTAAGGCCCCATTCACACTGAGCGATTTATCGCTCTCCAATGCATGTCAATGGGGCTCTGTTCGTCGCTGTTGCGCGTCGCTACAACAGGACCCTTTTTGGAGCGGATTTCGGGGCGATTCTACTTTGCTCAATGCAACCATTTGCGCGATATTGCGCAGCAAACTGCACGATATCGCGCAAAATGACAGTCGCGCTACAAACACGTAATTTTGCGATACGCTCAGTGTGAATAAGTGGCCTAAGTGATTGTGTGGCTGTAACATTGCTTCTGCTAGTAGACAATCACCTCACTGCAATAGTGACCTGGAATCTGTTTATCAACAGGCCAAAAAAAGGTTCATTTTAGTGTAATATTCACTATTTCACAATTTTTTTACCTTTTTCTGTTACAATGTAAATGCACTTAAAGGAGAACTATGGGCTCAGGGCTTTTCCCCATCGTTCTCCTAAGGGTCACGGGAGGACACAAACTAGCGTCCTCCCGTCACCCAAAGCTCAGTATACCGCGAGCTACAGCTCGCGTTATACTGAGACATTACTGTCTGGATCCACCCAGCTGCGTGAGTGACAGCTGGCTCTGCCTATCTAGAGGCAGAGCCAGCTGTACCCTCCCCCGTCCGTTCCACTAGTCAGCGCTGGAGGATTCGACAGGGGATGGGGGGAAATCACTGCAAGGATCCGTGAGTGACAGTCACGGCTCTCTGCAGGGACAGGTTCGAGAAGTGAGCAAGCGACAGTATGTGTTCGCTCACTTTCCGATCTACTGAGCCGACCTGTGACAGTTTCATTCTCACAGGTCGGCTAGAACTATGAGGAGGAGTGATTTTCACTCGCCTCATAGTTCTCCTTTAAACCATGACTTAATCCAAGAACTACAATGTAATTTAATGCAGCTTACCATTCCTTCGATGTGGTGGCTGAATTTGTTTCCATTTCATCAGGCTAAGAATGTGTTCAGCAGGTACAGAAAATACCTATTGATCCTGCCACTAAAGTAGTGTCCTTGTCGGTTCAGTGAAGGTAAAAAAATGTCCTTCCGGGCTATACATTTCTCTCTGTTTTTATTTTCTCTCTAGGAAAACTTGGGTTCCCGGAAGTCAAGAGGGCAAAGTTTACTTTTGTTTGTACCTCGTGTACAGCTTTTGGAATGTAGTGCACTAATTGATTTTGCACTTGCACATGATCTAAGAATTTGACTTGTTATGCCTTCCTTCGGGATATCCTTTTCTAAATAAAGGATTTATTAAAAAAAATTATATCTTATGTAAACTACTAATCCCAGCAGCCACTATGTAATGTAGATGAACAATGGGCAACATATTGGTAATCCAGCCTGGGTGACAACTAGGGATGCACCAATATATTGGCCACCGAAACATATCGGCCGAAAATGTTACTTTTGGCAAAATGCCGCAAGTGCCATTTTCTGGGCGAAATAGCGGTGCATCCGTTCTTTCTCTCCTCCCTGCTGGGCGCTGCCAGTCGGCGCTGGAGGATCGGACTGGGGAGGGGGGAATCCAGTCGCTCCCCTGCCACTGCTCTCTACCGCCACAGGATCGAGAAGTGAGCGAGCGCCGGTATGTGTTCGCTCACTTCCCGATCTACTGAGCCGACCTGTGACAGTTTCATTGTCACAGGTCGGCTCAGATTATGAGGCTGAATGAAAATCACTCACCTCATAATTCTCCTTTTAATGGAGCTTGTAGAGCTAGAAATATGACCATTGCTGACTTGCCGGCCTCTGAGCTTGCATTCTTGTTTTCACTGCTCAGTGAGTCACTGACCAAGAACAAGCTTTGTGTATCCTGGTATCCCGACACCTGACATGGTCTTCAAAGTCATTGACTTACCAGGTAGTGAAAAAAGATAAAGCTGCACAATGAACCCCTTTTTTTTTTGCACACAAAGTTAAATGCTTTTTTTTTTTTAATATGAAAACACACTTAAAACCCCTGAACATTGTATGTTTTCTGAAAGCAGAGGGCCCACAAAATAAAAACATGCTAGTTACAATTTTTGTATGTTGCACTGTTTATCAAATCTGTATTTTTCAGTTAAAATACATTCAAACTTAAGTAGAACTAAAGGGTTAAGGCTTTTCCCCATAGTTCTCCTTAGGGTACCGGGAGGACACAAACTAGCGTTCTCCCGTCACCCTGAGACGCCGCAGTATACCGCAAGCTGCTGCTCGCGGTATACTAAGACGCCGCAGCTGAAGCGGATCCCGACAATTCTGTCTGGATCCGCCCAGCTGCATGACTGACAGCTGGCTCTGCCTATCTACAGGCAGAGCCAGCCGTACCCGCCCCCTCCCCCGTCCATTCCGCCGGTCAGCGCTGGCGGAGCAGGGAGGGGGGAATGCAGCCCCTCCCTTGTCACGGCAGAGAGCCGTGACAGGATCGAGAGGTGAGCAAACGCCGGTATGTGTTCGCTCACCTCCCGATCTACTGAGCCGACCTGTGACAGTCTCATTGTCACAGGTCGGCTAGAACTATGAGGTGAGTGAAAAGCACTCACCTCATAGTTCTCCTTTTTTAATTTTAGTGCACACAAACACAATACAATCTTTAAAGGTTCTGTAAATTATAAAAGATGAGGCTGATTCAAGTAAATAGTAAATACTGTATGTCACAACATAACATTGCATGCGGCTGAGTTTTGATACCAAGAATTTTGTATACGTGATGTTTACATAAAACCACGTACAGCTCATCAATTTATAGTTCACTGTAAATGATGCCCTAGAATTATTCCTCTTTCTAATGTGTGCGCAATACCCAATACGTGCTGTGCACTTGTCGGTTATGTACTAAAAAGGTCACCCTTAAGGGCTCGTTTCCACCAGCACGATTTTTTGCGATCGTACTGCACTGGAACGGGGGGCATTGTATTACCACGCTGTCCTGTGTGGCTGATCGCACTGCAGGCGGGGGGCATGTCTTCAGTGCCATTGACATGAATCGTGTTGCCCCAGAACGCAAGGAGACTTTGTGTATGTTATCCCTTGCGTTCCGAGCACGGGATCACATTGAACGCATGGGCTCGTGGTACAAAAAAACTATGCAAAAATGGATCCGGCAATGAAGTGGTTACATTCTAAATCTTAGGCATAGTCATCACCAACTAGAATTGATCATGTACTGAGCTGATTTAATGAAGATCGGTAGAATAAGAACTCTTTTGAATCGGGCTGTGTGTTTTGTACCCACTATTGCTGCCTGTTACAATACGTGCTGTATTCTGGAAGCAAACCCTAATAAAATACACTAGCAGACATCCCAACCTGCAAAACCTTATTTCAGGGAGGTTCCCGTCTTTTTTTTTTACAGCGGCCGTCGTCAGAATATAAAAGAAATAATAATGATAATAATTGTATTGAGATATGTATATATCTCAATAAAGTGGCCATCCTATGCGCTGTAAAACGCTCAACATGTGAAAACCAATGATTGCCTATGGGCATGGTTCTCACCTGGGCATTTTACAGCGCGTAGGAACGTGCTGCAAAACGCCCTACGCCCAAAGAAGTACAGGAGC